GATCACTGTGCTTTTCTTGGACAGATTGTACACTGGTGTGTGGTCCTTTGTGTCCGCGATCCAAATCTAGGCACGCAACAGGCCTCCGGCGGCACGTTTGTACCGTGCACCTATGCAGAGTGTTCGGCTGCACAAGGGCTCCAAATCAATAGGGCCTCTAATTTTCTATGTAATAGAGTAGTGATAATGACTAATTTAGATCTTATTAATTTAGGTATATAGGTTAACATTATAGTGAACAAATGTAACATTTGTACTTGATATTAAATTAGTACATATAATTAAATCATTCCGAATAAAATATGATTTATAAAAATAATGCTTTGGACACTTGGATCTAGATATATGGATCGTGATAGTCTACGTCATGTCTTCTAGACGGAGTCAATACTGAAGAAAAAGGAAAGGAACGCGTGAAAAGGTCAGCAGGCCAACAACATAGTCCGTCTTCACATCCTCAGTCTATGATGACAGTTTGATTTAGGGTTGCGTGGGGCATAGCCTCCACATATCTCGTATATATATAAGACCAACAATACAGAGTTAGATTACAATACGACAGGTATAAGACGTTTCCAACACACCCCTTCAATCTGAACCACTACTACATACAAGGTTCAGATTGGACCGGAAACGTTCTAACATCTGTCGTGTGACCGGTTTAGTAAATACATCAGCCAGTTGGTCATTAGTCGAGATAAACCTGACATCTAAAACACCAGAAGCAACGCGCTCACGCACAAAATGAAAATCTATCTCTATGTGCTTGGTTTTTGCGTGAAAGACTGGGTTTGCCGTCAGGTATGTAGCCCCAAGATTATCACACCATAGAATGGCGGTACGCTGCTTGAAAACCCCAAGCTCCTTGAGTAAGATATCCACCCAGATTGCTTCAGCTGCTCCATTAGCTAAAGCTTTGTATTCTGCCTCCGCACTTGATCTGGAGACAGTTGGCTGTTTCTTGGAACTCCATGAGACAAGATTGGAGCCAACAAACACAGCAAAACCATTAGTGGAACGGCGATCATCAATGCATCCATCCCAATCAGCATCCGTGAAAATACTGACACCAGTGGAAGGAGATTTACGAATCCTCAATCCCGTACTCAAAGTCCCTTTGACATAACGCAATATACGCTTGACAGCTTCCCAATGCTCATTAGTTGGTTGTGATAAATACTGACAAACCTTGTTGACTGCAAAGGACAGGTCGGGACGAGTGAGCGTTAAATACCGAAGTCCTCCAACAATGCTGCGATATCGAGTGGCATCCTCAACACCCAAAGGGGTGCCGACCTCACGAGCCAGGTGCTCAGTGGCAGATAATGGTGTAGAGGTAGGCCTACAATTCTCCATACTCACACGATGAAGAAGATCAAATGCATACTTTCTTTGAGTCAGCGTCATGCCCCCAGAATTGAAGGACGCTTCAAGCCCCAAGAAATAATGGAGAGGACCAAGATCCTTGATAGGAAAACTGTCGGAGATGGATCGCACCAAACGATCAACTGCAGCCGGAGTGGAGCCAGCAATCACAATATCATCAACATACACAAGCATGTATATCTGAACGCCATGCGCAGCAAAGACGAATAGAGAGGCGTCCGCCTTTGAAGCAACAAAACCAAGCTGAAGAAGGCGAGCACTGAGACGAGCATACCAAGCACGTGGCGACTGTTTGAGACCATAAAGAGCTCGTTGCAACTTGCACACATGCAAAGGAAACCGGGCATCTTCAAAACCTGGTGGTTGTTGCATATAAAAGTCTCAGAAAGAAAGCCATGAAGAAATGCATTGCTAACATCAATCTGCCTCAAGCTCCATCCGCGAGAAACAGCAAGCGAAAGAACCAGACGGATAGTAGTCGGTTTTACCACGGGGCTGAAGGTATCACCATAGTCAAGACCGTGCTGTTGAGTAAAACCACGAGCGACGAGGCGAGCCTTGTGATTGTCAACAGACCCATCGGCATGTTGCTTCGTCTTGAAAACCCACTTACTGCCAACAATGTTAACGCCAGGTGGTCGAGGGACCAAGACCCAAGTGCCGTTTTGACGAAGCGCTGCAAACTCAGCAGCCATAGCATCACGCCACGCCAGCTCACAGAGAGCATCACGATGTGACACCGGTGTCGCAAAGAAAGCACAACGAAGAGGATTATACCGCACCGTCCCATCAGTAAACTCCTTGTCACGACGAGTAGCATCACGGGTACGAGTGACCATAGGATGAGGGTGCTCGACGGGCGGAAGCGTACACGAGGACGGCGACACTGCTGGACTTGGCGACGGTGTCACAGGAGCTGGCGAAACCGGTTCATGGGCCGGCTCATGGGCCGGCGGAGCGCAGGGGGAAGCAGCCGCTGCACCCGGCGCTGGTGAAACCGGTTGTCGGGCCGGAGAGGCGCAAGTGGGCGCTGGCGAAGCTGGTGCACGGGCAGGCGAGAAGCCAGCCGCAGCACCAGGCGGTGCAGACCCTGCATGCGTAGGCGGGGACCCCGCCTCGGAAGCTGCGCTGCCATGCACGTCGAGCGGCGTATCGACCGTGTCCAGACGCGGAAAATCTTGCACAGGAAAGGACCTGGCTAGGCCAGAGGTATTAGTAGCCAAGTAGGTTAGGTCGTAATTACGCACATGAGCACTCGTAGCCGGTTCTGTGGATGGAAAAGATATAGCCTCGTCAAGTGTAGACACATCGACAGTGAC